GATAAGATTGGTTTGAGGGACGGGAGAGAGAAAAAACGACGCCGAAACTGCAGAGATTTCCATCTTGATAGGACGAATATGTAGCAGACGCCGATGAGTTGTGTCTGACAGGGTATTTATTTACTAGGTTATTTATTTCAAGCTGCCGATAGACTAACAAAAATAGGATCGGAGGTAAGTACCACCATATAGGAGCAAATGCATGGATGATATGATCTCGAGACGTGCTTGCACCAATACTCATATACCTAAAATAGCGAAACAAACATCCGGAGTATGAATGTAATGTCGTTACTTCTTCTCACCTCGTTCTAATGTCTCGGTCGCTCGACTGACGGTCCGCCGACTGAGACCTGTACCGCAGGTACTCCGCTACCAGTACCCGACAGAGAGCCCGCACGCGGTCGGCGCCGGGCTCCGGTCGCGTCAGGTCGGGCTGCGATCGCGGCAGGTCGGGCTCGGGGTCAGGTCGCGGCCGAAACAGACGACCCAGCGCCGACGACAGGGCGGCGTGCGAGCGTGGCGGCGGAGCAGACTGGCACGCGCACATTGTCGTTCGGTTATGAAGGAGAGAAACGACCGGTGCCGACTGCACGCAGGAACTACTGGTCATGGAAGCGTGGAGCCGTGGATATACACTGCAGAGAGTGCCTCGGGCTGAGACCTCCAGACTGAGGCTGAGGGCCTACAAACGGAGCGGCCGTCGTGCCTGACCTGTGTTTGCCAAGTAGAGGTGGCAAAATGTGGACCCGAGGACCCGGTCCAAAGAACCAGTCTGGACCCATATGGGTCCAGACCGGTGCCTGGAAATTTTCTGACGGGTCCAACCGGGTCCTACCATAAACTATACATCTTGCATACTACACATTATTGCAAAATATGAAGTGAATGTTTCTTTGCACACAGTAGCTCATGAGTATTCCCAGTGGGAAATAGGCTGTTTTACAAGATGCAACTAATGATTCCTTCAAGTAGTTTGTATCAATTTACTTTAGGGAACGGGTCCAACTGGTTCCGGTTCCAACTAAGACCGGGTCCGACTGGTTCCAGAAATGTCCTGCCGGGTCTGGTTCGAGTCTGGTTCCCAAAATTTTCATCTTTTGCCACCTCTATTGCCAAGCCACTGGACGGGACAGTGAGAGCCGAGGAGCGGCACACACGGAGCCACTCAACGGAAGCCCTGTCAACACAGCGGAAGGCTCCACGCTTACCAGTGCAACTAAGCACCGCAAAGTCAGCTGCTTCAAAAAGGTGTGACGTTGTTGCAACCTTGAAATATTTAGGATGTAAAACAAAGACGCTATCGAGTGCGCGACAAGGCCAGGAGAAGTGCAGTGGAAAGCTGGCAAATTATGGACAGAGGAAATCGTAAATATACATACTTCTATAGAAAATCGTCATGCTCCACTCACTATCATTTTTTTCAGAATACGATTTAATTGACAAATAATTTACTTTTTAAAGGATAGACTGTTAACATAAATTGAGCGGATTAAGTCCCATTTTTAACGATGCACTCCGAACTTGCGGAGTGTAAGCTCATGGACGCAGTGGAGTGTGCTAACTTCTATACCGACCACCGGAAGGCGAAATGTATAACCACACAGCCAAGGAGCGGGGCCGGTGGAATGCGATCGGTCCGGTCCCGCGGCTGAGGGCACACTCAGCCATGCCTATACCAGGAGCCGGTGCGGTGCAGTGGGCACGGCACGTGACGGTCGGCCCACTGCCGACGGCTGTGTATTACCTTCTGGACCGGGCTGGAGGCCCACGGTCCCGCGGGTGAACCGGACTGGAAACCGACTTCGGAGAAGGACCCGCCACAGAACCAACTCAATATATTTAAACGAGTTTTTTTCCTAAAAATGATTACCGTCGTTTGTTTTTCCCTTTCGTTTCATTCTCTTATTCTCTTATTTTAGTTTTTTCTGCAAACACGAAAGCATGACATTTGTCACTAACAACGGGTACCTACCTACCAATCAGCAGGCCGGCATGCGACTCGGAATGCATGCCGCTAAATCAAGTTCATAAGTCAAGCGTCACGTGCAGATCAGCTTCAGTGACCGATATGACTACCATCCTATAAAACATCGGTGTCGAGTGACCGGCGCCACGAGACTGTAAACTGTTTATGGCTGTGCAGCGGCGCTCCGCGCATTCGGTGACTTTTTTAGCTCTCCGAGATATAAACAGAGAGGAGTGATCATTTGATGCATATGTAGACCTAGGCACCAGAGTCCAAGTAACCAGCAACCAAACCAACACAGTTTGACATCTGGAGGTGACGATCGGCTACACTGTAAACCAAATCTACAAGTTGGCTCCTTGTTACAAGTTTGGTTCCAATTCGCATAGGCGTCACCTTGTCGATACCTTGTCGATTCACCAACCCCAGGCTTGTTGGCCAACAAACTAACAGTTTGTCTACAAGTTTGGTTCCAATTCGCATAGGCGTCACCTTGTTGATACCTTGTCGATTCACCAACCCCAGGCTTGTTGGCCAACAAACTAACAGTTTGTTTACAAGTTTGGTTCCAATTCGCATAGGCGTCACCTTGTTGAGTACTAGTCTGGGCCTTGTGGACCTACCAACTTCTGGATAGGCATATTCGTTTCCTTGTCGGTTCACAAACCCCTGGTTTGTTGATGAACTAGCCTTTGACTGGGCATTGCTAGCTTACAAATTGTCAACAAGTAAGTGTACTAACGCTCTGTTCGAACTTGTCAACAATCGCATTGTTTGCGTTGATAACCTTAAAAACTTACGATTCGCGTTCGTTTACAATTGCCACGATACTGATTCAGGAAATATTTTCTATACGGACAGGTTATTTTTTGGCTGGAAGTGGTGCACAAAACCACGACTGGCATCATTTATTAAGTATAACATGCCCGTATGACGAATATTTCCTGAACATTGACCATAACAATCATGGCAGTTGCACGATCACGCAGATAATTCGAATAAATCATGATCGCCAACCATATTAGCTTTTACAGCCCATATATGTCCATCAGTTAAGTTAAAAATACAAAGAGTTGAATTAAAGGCAAATAAATGTATTTATATATAAAAAACACCGACCGCAAAACATCTGCTCACATGTGCATGCACAGGTCTGGCCCACTTACATTGCGCGCGCAGGGGAAGGGAGGCGTCTCGAACGCGGGTATAGGCACGATTAGTGCGTCCCGCAGGCCAGAGGGGGCCTCACTCACAGCACGAACACCACAGTTCACAGATTTCACTTTTTACTGCACAAATGCTGGAACAGCCCTCGTCGCTGCTCCAGGCTGCACGGCGGCCGCGCGACAACTGCTGGTTTGAAACCGCCGCGCCGGGGCCCGCTAACGGCGGGCGGCGACCGCTGATTGGTCCGCCAAGTCTGACGTCATAGGCGCAGCTGACCATGTGTATGCTGACCAGCTGACCAGTACAAGCTAGGCGCCGGTTAAATAACCATGCGGCAACAAGTTTCCAAAACTGGTTAAGAAACCAACGTTGAAACAAATGTAGAGTTGGTCTGGATACTGAGAAGTTGGTGTGCATAGTAACTATTGACTCGTAGTTGTCACCTGGCAAGCAATGCACCAGACAACGGCTTGTTTAAAAAGTATCAGTTGGTAAACATACCAAAAGATGATTTGTTATATTACACAAGACTTGTCAATTTGGTTTACAGTGTAATGCAATTATGAAAATGATTGCTTGGCATCGATACGATACGTGGTGACTGTCAATGAGTCAGCCGTTCGATTAATTTCAAATTAAACTCTATTACTTTAGGCTTAATTAATGCATCATTTGTTGCAATTACGGGCATTTCACTTTCAGTTACCATGCGAATGCTGTAAGCAGTTACAGCTACTCTAACTAATTACCATAAACAATCATACAGTCTTCCATTATTGGTAATGAGCACACCATGCTGCAATTTAAACGGCATTTGTTTTATTGAACTTTTAGTAGTTCTGACATGATGTGGTTAAAATAATTAGAAGGCATGAACTCCTCCACAACACAGCGCGTCTCCTACCCAAGCTATTTTTGTCCCATAAACATGTCACGTACGCCATTAGATAACAGCATACCACGGACATTCTTGTAATTATATCAGTAGTGCAAAGTTTGGCCCACTGTATGCAGCGTTATGCATCAATGCAAGTAGGGTATGGCCGGTGAGTTGGATGGGTCGGACTTACAAGAAGAATATTGTGTTCAATGTTTGAATCGTACTTATCTCTTATACCACGGCTAGCAAATGAATATTTCAAAGATTTTATGAATGAATATTCAGCAATATCTGATTGAGACATGGTCTGTTCCAAGATTTCTTGTATAACGCCTGCATCTACATTGGTCCAAAGCAGGCAAAAGCCCTGGGCCGTCTGAAAGACTGAAATGCGAGTAAAAACACACACAACCCACTTCTTTGTCCACCCTATGGCGTGACAATAAATGAACAAATACAATAGTTGTCCTCTCTCCATAGCTTCTCTTTTATCGACACCAATTTCGGATATAACTATGTCAGAATAACCTTCAAGTTGCTGCACCACTTTCACAGTCCGAAAACGATGACAAACGCGATGCTTTTTCATAAAGTCGCATGCTAGGTGAAACCAGCAGGCAGACGAGCATCGGGTAGGCAATAGTCAACAGGAGCTGTCCTTGAAGTCCTTGCAGTGCTCCACCACTATAGGAAGTCGGCAGTATATCCGGCCTCTGAGACCGACTTCACCCTCGCTAAACGAACAAGAGCCAACGCTGGACGTGTTGACTCTAACTACACTCATGCAGCGGTGCGATGTTGGCTCAACACACACCGACGAGCGTCCTACCGACGACACTTCCCTATATACTAGTACGTAGGTTGGACGGTTCCGCTACTACGAGTACAGTCTGAGACCAAGTGGGTGACGACTAATTCCCGTCATCAGTCATGCTGGATGAGCAGCGGACCTTGAATGCGCCTGCGGCAGCTCGCAGACCTCACCTGGAGCCGATGCGCTGGTTGTAGTCGCAGTCGGTGGAGAGTGTGAGCGCGATGCGGCCGGCGCGTGCCAGCGAGGCCGCCACTCGGAAGCGCTCCTGGTCGCGCGACGGCTGCACTGACAGTCGCGGCGGGCGGCGGCGCACGCCGACCATGGCCGCGGCCGTGCACGTCCTTCACCTGCAGTCGGCGTACCCGAGCGGCGAGCCGAGCGGCGCCGAGCCGTCACCGGGCTGTCACAGAGGCGTGCCGGCCGGCGCCGCGGGCCGCAGACGTCTGCCGCGCCGCCTGCGGCTCCAGGCGCCGCGAGCACCCGCACCGGGCGCCCAGAACACCGCCCCCGGGAGCGCCGCGCCGCGCCACCGAAACTGTATACACTCACGGCTTTACCGAGTGACTCCTCAATGCTAGACTGCCACAGAAGGGCAAACAAGGACGCCGGAGGACCGCTGACCGACCGCTCACTGACAGTAACCAGGGACAATCTGTCCGGCAACAACTCGTCAAAACATTTGAAAAGACTGCTTTCAAGCTACGTATACCAGCGACTGGCGAGGGCTAAAAACTGGCGAATTTGGCGAGTGCAAAACGGAGACCGGCTGAAAGCAAGAGCCAACGCACTGAGCATTCAGTCTGGAAAGTACCCGCATCGTTGCGGTGGATCCATCAAGCCTGACCGAGGAAGGGCTGCTAAATTTGAAAGTCACTGAACCAATTGACATCCTCATCCATCCCTCAGGTTAATTGGTTCGGTGACTCAAATTTAGCAGCCCTTCCTCAGTCGGCCTTGATGGATCCACCGCACCGATGCGCGGTACTTTCAAGACGGACTGTACTGCAGTCACCGGTGGCGACTGTCTTTTATGTGCTCTTTATTTGCTGCGTATCTTTTTCTAAAAACTGCAGTTTCTAAACGATTGGCCCTTAACGAATCATTCAACGAAATGTTGATTGTAGTCCAGACCGTTTGAATCAGTTCAGCGCTTAATCGCAACAATTGACCTGCATGGTGCACCATACTCTGAGTCGTCGATAACCCGCATACTTCGATGCATAGTCCTGAGTCAAAGTGCAACGTGCAACGTGAATGTGTGCCGCTAGGCGAGGTGAATACGAAAACGATGCATAGCCGTCAAGGACAACCACAAAACTGAACCGGTTCGACCAAAATAGCACGGTAACTATGTAGAAAGTACGCTGGGTTCGTCGGCCAGTGATTCGATTCTCGTCAGTCCCATGCGTTGAGGCCCTTTGGGTATACCGGAACGTGCAGCGAATAGCGATATTTGTATAATGTACATCTGAGCGTTGCTTCCCAATATATGGCCTAAGTTGTATCATTGTTTTGTAAAATAATGAGAAAAGAAGGGGTGAAAGAACGTTGCTTGATCGGTGTTTTCAATTCGATAGAATAGGTATATGGGGTTACATAACAAATCGATGCGAAGAATAACGAATGTATCCTTTTTCGTCGTAATTGCCACTATCGAGACACCATTAAGTATCAAGTCTTCTAGCCTTTCATAACTATGGCAGTAATCATACGATAGCACGCAAAATCGACCAGCTAGCTAGATAGTTACCTATATTGCGGTAGCATGAACCCCTCAGTAATGACTAATGAGTTGGCAGTGTTATGCGTCGATTAATTATGAGTCCACGAGTCGTCGTGGCTCGTGCTGATATGGTGCGGCGCCCTCATCCCCAACGGCCACCATGCACCCTCTCCGAATAGCGGTAAGCTGCAGAGGGTGCCCGAAGCCGCTGGTATACTTGTTAATTACCGTTAAGCCCACCCAGGTGTATTACACGCTTCAAAGCCACGGGTTAATCCGTTTGTCGCCCTCGGCACACAGGTTCGTCCGATGGAACGTCCCGTGCAATACCCAGGGACAAATATTCACATTGTGTGACTAACCTGAGGGTCTCGATGAGAAAATCACGAGACTCTTTTCTGCGAAATGAGCCGGAAGACCCGGCTGCCAGCATAGCGGTGGATACCTTTCTGAAATTTGACAAAATGAGATCAAAATCGATAACACTGCTGCTGCTGCTGCTTGCAACCTGCTGCTGACTAAACTATTGGGAGCTGGTTTGTTTTAATCGTGTCATATTTGACAGCAATCACGCGGGGAGTTAACCCTCGCCGGACCTATTGGTTTTCTACATACGCGCCGGCCGAGGGGGGGGGGGGGCGGGTACGACCCCCCCCTCGCCGTTTCGCCCCTGGTGGAGCTAGCGCGTCGCGGAAAAAACGAGCGTGTGCGCCGTTACGAGACGCAGAGATTGGTACCCGAATTTAAGGTCCTAGGTCAACCGGTGACCTCTGAGGTCAGGTCAAGTGCCCCAAGGTACGGTTCAGTTTTTGGTGAATAACTTCGCAAAAAATGGCCGCAGAGCCGCGATTTTGGCAGCATCGTGTTCGCCTCGCTCAGGCGCGTCGAATGATATACTTTTTGTTCGGGTCAGGTCAACTTGGTGTGTTGACCTCAGGTCAAGGTCAGGTCAGCACCCTAAGGTCACGAAGTTGGTCGAAAGGGGTCATGTCGCATATCATTCGATTCGGCAGGTCTTCCTGAGTCCATTGGTGGCTTTCCCGACTCGCTAGCTCAATTTGATCAAGAGTTATTGACGAAAAACTAATATGACCTTGATGACGTCATAAATGACGTCACGCAAGGTCAACATTGCAAAAGTGACGCATCTAACCTTGCAAGGAGTGCATCAAATCACGATTCTGTGTGCTTGAGATAGTTGGAGATCGTTCCCGGCGCCAGAATAGCAGTTTGAATTTTTCCCCATTGACTTATAATGGTGAGGTCACGAAAATGACCTGACCTCATATGACCTTTAGGAAAAATCCGAGATATACAAGTTGTGAGACTCATAATGGATACTAGATCCTGCAAGTTTCATTTCCCTGTGACATCTCCTCTGGCAGTGAGGGCGTTGCGAAGTTGCGACATCTGAAGACCGTGCAGAGGTTCACTTATGACGTCATAGGTCAGTGACCTGACCTGACCCAAAAATGCGGTTGGTGTCAAAAGATGCGGCTTGGATCAAAGGTCAGGTATGCCAAGTTTCAGCTCTCTATCGCCAGCGTGTTCGGAGCTATCGCGAAAAAACCCTATGGGGGGGGGGCGGCACCCGCCCCCCCCCCCTCGGCCGGCGAGGGTTAAATTATAAAAGGTCCTCGAGTACACAAAATTATACCTATCAGTCAACTCGACAACATAGATCATCATACAACATAGCCAGGAACATGCTTATCGCGATTATCTGGATTGTCAAACGAAAAATATGCCACGCCACAGCCATCGGTAAGCATCAAAGCATGGTAGACACTAGACGCTGGAAACGAATAATCAAAAGCTAAAAGGGATACGCAGCAGACAGGATTGTGTTAGGTTTACCCTCTTCTTTAGAGTAGGCATTTGACCCTATCTTGCCAAAAGCGATATATTTTTAATTGAAAACATTAATCAATGATACACTTATGACTTCAACGCATCGTTATTTGTACTTCAATATTACGAAGGAAAGCGTAAAAATTCACGTCTCACTCTCGACACACTAAACAAGCACAATGGAAGCAGGTCGCTAGGATGCCTGCTCTGGCATACAAGCTCACCTTTGCATCATGTTGCAGACGTTGGGTTTCACTCAGTTCCAGACGCCGTCGCCCCTACCCACCCGTCCCTCGCGTGCGCCGTTCACCTGTGGAGCCCCTCACACGCACTCCGAACCGAGCGGTGTCTCGTCACCAGGTGCGCGGCTCCCGAGCACGGGCGCGCCCCACACGACACCGTCTGATAGTGGACAGATAGATAGTGGTGACGGTGGTCAGTCGGCCGCCGCTGACCGGCCCTCCTCCCCGCCGGGTACACACAGACACCCCACCGCGGGCGGCGACCGACAGCCGGCTGACGAGCGGTGTTGCAAAACAGATCGGTTGCGAGATGATAAGATAAGATGATTGAGCGTGGTCAACGCCCTTGACTTAAATGGCGATGTAGATGAGAGATCATTGCAAATACTGTGGTCGTTGCGCGGGTCACAATAACATCTTACCGCACGGACATACTATTTCAGGTAGAAGACTGGAGCATGTTTATCACATGCATATAGCAGGACACACACCACGGCCGTCCTGCTCGGCGAATTCCCTGGCATATAACGTGATAAACGGCAAGGTTCAGTTATCATTAGGACATTTTCCGTCTGGCACAAATGTCCGAAAGTTGCGGTATGTAGTGTTTATGGAAGTGCTGACAGTTGCCAGACTGTCACATGTCAAGGAAGCGACTTCTGTCTCCTACATTCGTAACATTATTTGTTTACCCAGTCGATAATGTGAATGAAAACAAATGCACTTGTTGGTGAGCAAGAAGACCATCCCAGCATGAGTTTTCCTCAAACAATTAATTTGAAAGGACCATGAAGATCCCTCTGTCCCCATCACATGTCAAATCAGTCAAGGGACGGAATCTAACATAGCCTATTGTAGCCTTCGCTAGAGGTTACGTCCCTGACGAAGATGCTTGTGTAGACACTAGATAGTGTTAAAAATTCCTTTCACGCATAAGAGTATCTTGGCGGTAGATCTTGAGTTTTCAAGAGGCTTGATTATCCTGGGTACAAGTGGGCATTTTATAAACCACGTCATGTCACGTTTCTCGGAACCGTTGATTTTGATCGGTCGGATTGCGAGTCGCCCCTGGCAGGATCCATATTGGGGTCAATCAATCTCAACATGAGGTCTAACCCCTTCACTGCCGGTCTTTTACCTCGACTAAGGCAGCTAAGCAAAATGTGTTCTATTCAAATTTTTCTTTTCTGCCGTAAATGAAGATGTGTAAATATACGCAAAAAGTTCATATTTACGAAGAGCCGAAGCCTTGTGGAGAACTTCTTATAGCCATTTTAAAGTTTCAGTTATCAGGCATAAATGACCTCCAGATGCTTAAAACAGGCTCACAGCAATAGTTTGAATCTATCTCTTTATCTATCTCTTTATCTTATTCATTGAAAATATTTGTGTTGTCGTGAATCAGCACTGCAAACTTTTCGCAAGGTATCCATGCCCCGTCCATCCCCGGCGACTCTGCCTCCCCGGGCCCCGGCTCAAGCACTGCGGCGCACCGACCGGCCTCAGCGGGCCGTGATCCAGTTCGACAGAGGGCCATAAGTTGGGTCCCGCCCAGATTGGAGACGATATTTTGCACGTCGCATGTTCATAGAATGATTCGGACGCAGCTGGCGGGACGTAACTCAGCGACCAGGCAGCGACCGAGGAGCCGCCGCGCTGGAAATAGCCGCCAGGCGAGGGAGGAGCGAGACCGGCAGCGGTCCTGATGGGGTACAATGGCATTGGGGTGCAGGGATGGGAATGGGCACTTATAGAGGAATGAGCAAATAGTTTTCCGTTGACCATCCGCACGATAACGAATTAAAGTAAATAATACGCAATCGTTATAAAGCCGCTGGGTTACCGACATAGTGATGCGCTTGTCGCTGTCATTGCTCACTCGTTCGACAACAGCGACATTTTTTGACAGCCGATGGTTTCGTGACCTTGTGTATTTCATTTAACAAAAAACAGAGAAAAATCATCGTTGAATTACCGAGGTCCGTTCCACACGAAGGAGATAAGTATCGAACAACGTAAGCCAAAATAAAAAATCACGGAGACATTTCTTTCCTGATTCATAGAAAAGGACAAGACATAAACAAACCCCTGAATCAACCGACAGCAGGCTCAGCTGTTAGTTACCAGCTGTGCCTTTTGAAGATATTTTAGTGATATTCTTATTACGCAACCAGTAGAAAAAGTGCTTAAGACGTTGAGCAAACAGAAGCGGACCGTAAAATCGCCTCATAAAACCAAGCTATCAATGTGCCCAATTACCACTGGAAACAACTGACCGTCAACAACGCAAAGCCGAGCCACGAGTCAACAAAACAAAGTCGTGTAGCGTTCAAACAGTACAACACGCAGCATCAAAACACACGAACATTCATCAAACAATTTCACGCAATCACATTTCGTTTCAATTTCAAACCACAGTTTCGTTCCCGAGATTCGGCACCATACCAGTTGGCTGGATAGGAGTCCATCTTTGATATACGTTCAAAAAATCGCACTCCCTGAGGCTAAGCTGATTGACCTCAGTGATGCTTTGATCACACTCCACGACACAAGAGGTCAGCTGGGTCAAAACTGGCGGCGCCGGCCTGATCACATTGTTCTCTTGGAGTGTGACGACGAGTAGCTATAGACTGAGCTGACTGAGAGACTACTAGCCGTAAGAGTTGGCCTTGTGCTTGGGGAGGAACTCGAACGAATCGGGTACCTTACCCAGCAGCATCTCGCTGAAACAAGAGAGAACTGAGCTGACAGGCAAGTAACATGCCAATACTTAATATATAAAAATATAAAGTAAAAAGCATTATGGCAAGGGGAACGTTGGGACATCCAACGACACTCAAACGCCGATTTAAGAAGTTCTGGTAAGAAGGTCCATATAAAATGTATCAATATTCCTATTGCAACTACCTTATCGAAGATATACGATGAACTTCTACAAAAACCGGTTACATACTGTTCTCAACCTAGTAAGCACGTGCTCTCTGTCTTTTATCAATTCTAGATGCCTCAATCGTTTTAACACAATTCCAAAATACCAAACATGTATTCTATCTCAACTACCCTTCATGCTATCGGTCTTCATCCCTGCCAAAGATCGGGCAATATCGTCCAGAATCTAATCAGCTCCCAACCAGATACAATTTGTCCTCATCCCGCCCAAATAGCCGAACAGTATCGGCGATGGCAGCCAGTCCCACAAACCGTCTTCACCTGAGGGTGAACAATCTCCACACTCCTACCCCAGCTGATCCGTTACTACACTGTTCTTACTGTAAGCACACTGTAATGACACCCTGCTCACCTGATGGTGACCCAGTCGCGGCAGTTGCCGCTCGCCATCAGCGTCTCCAGGTCGTCCCGGCCGCGGAAGGCCGGCGGTCGCTCGTTGATGCGCTGCGGGGGTCGCTCCAGCAGGCCCGCCGGGATGTACCGGTACAGGAACGATAGCCACTCCAGCAGGAAGCGACGCGTCTTCTCCACGCCCTAGCGGGAGGTCGGGGGTGGTTAGGCGGTAGATGTAGATTAGGGGAGGCCTGTGAGACCCACTGGTTAGCAGTTAGCACATCTGACAGACATTATCGAGTGCCAGCTCGGTGTGGAATACAGCTCTGAACGAGGTCTAAACGCAGCAGGGCGTAGCGATGGAGTAGAACATAGATTTGACACACCCTGAGAGCTCAATCAATACGTGTCCTTCGATTATCTTGGTGCATTGTAGCACGGTGACTATAAATATTGTAGAATGTAGATTACTACTCTGAGGGAACACTGACTAGCGACATCTGTGACGGGACTATTTTACAGAAGCTGCAGCAGGTGGCGGCACTGGCAAGGCATACGAGTAAGGGAGTCACATACGCCTGCTCATACGTTCACAGACGGTGATAGGCGCAGGAGACTGAGGAGATCAGCCACGATAAATAGGTTCTCCGCTCGACGTCCTATCATTCAGCTGACTACCAGACACTTTCCCAAGCTGGCTCCAGTCGGAGTCGGAGTCGGTCGGAGTCGGCAGTTTTGCCGGGAGTCGGAGTTGGAATCGCTAAAATATTACCCACTCCGACTTCGGAGTCAACAGTCGGAGTTAACAATGCATGGCTCAAAGTCACGCCCTACACCTGGTTGCTCGACGATTTTTCGCTCGTTGACCTTTCAAAATCAGGTTTTGTTGAAGCTAAGGACATACCCCTGTTTTGGACCAGCGTGTTTATTGGAAAAAAAGCTGAAGAAGGCTGCTGCGTCAAAACCCGTTTTTATTTCTGCATGCTATTAAAAAAAACAAAACACTTATTTGCAATACAAGGCCTTGGAGTGCGCAAAAGTTCGTTTCAAGTAAGATAAAAAAATCTCCGACATAAAATTTGATTTCATTATATGGACTTAGGTAATGAGAAATGCCCGGAATCGGAGCTGGAGTCGAGAGTCGGAGTCAGTTTTTGAAGCCGGAGTCTGACTCGGAGTCACCTTAAAATTTATCGAATACGCAGCCCTGATCAAAACAATCTTCGTTATATTCAAAAGCCCTCCTTTTCATTCATGGCATATATCGGATACGAAAAGAAAAGAAAATATTGGGCGATGGTTCAAATTTGACACCTTATTTGACATTGAGTGTTGAGATAATCATGAATTAGATAGCACAGCAATGCAAAAAAGAGCAATAGGCAATTGAGATATTTTATTTCAAACTCAGGCTTGTGAGGAACAACAAAAGCTCAAAATAAAAAAATAAAAAGAACGTCCTGAAATGTTCTCGGTGGTTGAAAGACGACCATGTATGACGTCAGCAGACGGCGGTCCGAGCTGGTATGACGTCAGCCGACGTCAGCCCGCGCTGGTGTGACGTCATCTGACATCAGCCGGCTGACGGAGCGGCGTCTCTCCGTCACAGTCGGTCCGTTTAACGGGCGCGGCTCGGGCGACTCCGGAACCCGTACTAAGCGGCGGCCACCCAGCGCTCGACCGACACCGGATTTTCGGCTGTTAATTTTACAGCAATTTTACGGCCGGCCTTGAGCCAGCCACTTTGGCATTAGACGTAAAAACATCGCAAATCACGTCATTGACATACGGAGCCAAATCAGCCGAGCTCGGCCCAACTAGCATCCTATACATACACAACGACGGCAGTGTGCGACAGTGCGACCCAGGCCGGGCGGCGGGCGCGAAACGGCACGCCCCGGCCCGGCGCGCGCTCGCATCACTTAACCCCGAGGTCGTGCGTGGCCGGTACTTGGCTCGCTTGGCCCCCGGCCACCCCGCGTTCAGCGGATATAAATCCTCGGCCTGTGTCGGCGCTGAATACGACACACCCTTGGAATTCGGGAGGGAGCGGACTCGTTACCGGGGATCAGGACACTGCGACTCCCCGGGATGACACGACGCGTGACATCCGCGCTGGAAACGGATCAAAATGCAGATTTAATGTACAGACAAGGCAAGATAAACGACCGGCAAAAAGGGCGACGGGCTCCATCAACTTTGAATTTTGACCTCGAACCTGGGATATTTGGCCACGTCAGAAGCATGCCAATGTGAATCCACAAAAAGTTACTTTTTCAAAGAAATTTGGTGCGAATGTTTCAAAATGTTGAATTTGGGGATTCGAAAAACGTGGGAAGTGGAAATTGTTGTGCGGTCCTGTCCGCTACCATACGATCTATTGTTTTAACATTATTGCTCTTTGCCACACGATCTGAAAATTCGGGGCCGACAGTGGAATTGCGAGTCGGCCGTCTTCCTGTAGCTCGGTGGCATTCTATAACAGAGATATAGGCGCGGCGATTTATGGCCTGGCCGGGGGCGAGGAAGTCGACACCGTTGAACACCACTCAATTGGCCCGGAGGCCAGCTCGATAGCACTTGACCTTGAACCCCCACTGCACATTGGTCATATGCTTAGGCCAAAAAGAAGCTCACAAAGACAAACTCCTAGACTGAGCAGAATTACCCTCAGACTATTGGTACCCCAAGAAAGCTTCAAAACCTTAACCGAGCACCAGGGCTGCGGAGTCGGAGTCGGAGTCGGAGTCGGAGTCGGAGTCGGAGTCGGTCGGAGTCGACAGTTGTGACCGGAGTCGGAGTCGGAGTCGGAGTCGATATTGGAAACCCCAGCCGGAGTCGGAGTCGGAGTCACCGAAAATCTGTCGACTCCGCAGCCCTGCCAGGTGTGTGGAGTCGGAGTCGGGAGTTGGAGTCGATCGGAGTCGACATTTCTGCCCGGAGTCGGAGTTGGAGTCGGAGTCGGAGTTGGTTTTTGAAAGCCGGAGTCGGAGTCGGAGTCGGAGTCGCCGTAAATCCATCGACTCCGCAGCCCTGCCGAGCACCTATCATATCTGTTTTGATGTCAAAATCATCAGGATCCCAGTGCTAGCCTAATAACTTACGCCTCACCAGCGCAGTGGTCGGCGACAACCGTACGCCGCCAGTTGGGGGGGGGGGGGGAGGGGCATTTTAAGCGTCCCAATTTTTGTTAAACGGTCGGGTAGCATGAGCGGGACTCGGAATTTCGTAGACACCTAAAATTGCTTCGAAATTATTTCGGAAAAATGCTGAAATGAAAAACAGTTAAATAACAAACAGTCATGTCAATTTCCATATTTTTTCCTCTAAAAGGCTTAACCCGCGCCCCGTAGGGCTACCGGCGGACCCTACCACCCGTAGGGGGGGGGCCGTTTCGGCCCCCCCCTAAGATCTCGGAAAGTTACCGGCCGATTTTCAAAATTCAAACGGCGTTTGATAGCCCTACCCGGGAACTACCTTGTGACCAAATTTCATTGACCTAGGTCAAACCGATGACGTCACAGGTCAGGTCAAAGGTCAGATTTTCACCGTTCACAGGCAATTCAAGAAATGTGCTGTGAAATCGAGTAAATTGGTAATTTATTGAAAACCATCGATGGTATATTGTTCGTCAAACACATACTTTGCTATCTGAGGTCACTGATACCAGGTCAGGTCACAGCGAGGTCAGGTCACCGGGGGTCACAATATGAATGTGTCGTGTGATACATGTTTTATGGTCCATTTTACATGACAAATGCGATTATGTGGGTTAGGCAGCCTTTGGGGCCAGCCTAGGTCACGTTTTGGTGAAGGTCAGGTCAAGGTCAGGTCAAATTAGGTCAAATTTCAAAGTTGATATTTTTGCATAAAATGGGTATCCATTCGATGCAGCTCGTCACGGGGAGTCTAATGGTGGTCTTTGTTTTGCTCTACGAGTTCTAGAATTGCCAAAAATTGAGTTTGAAAATTTGACGTCATCATTTTTGAACAGTTTTTTCGCTATAACTTGGCCAAAAAACGAGGTATCGATCTGAAATTTGGTATGTAGATAGAAGACGGTAGGTACTATCACATATATTCCGGTTTTTTCGAAACTCAAAAAACTTTTTGGATTTTTTGGCTAATATATCCAAAAAAATGCTTTTTTGATTTTTGGGGATCAAAACTCAAAAATTTCAAAAATCCGAGATAGCAGTTTTGTAGCCCTGTCAATTCTACACCTTTTATGTCTTGATCATTTTTCTGTATCTTCAAAGCTGTAGGCCTGACAGGTCTTCTCGCGAAGGTCTTTTTTCGGTCGAAAATGACAGAACATGACGTCACTCTGACGTCATTTGTGGCCAACCTATCACAGCCTCTGGAAATTTTTTTTGTCACAATGTGTAAAAGTGATGCCCGGAGGGGTCCTGAAAGTTTGGTGGCGATATCTCCAGCCGTTTAGGAGATATCGACCGAAAAGGACAGGGGGGGGGCCGTTTCGGCCCCCCCTACGGGGCGCGGGTTAAGTCGCTTTTCACTAACATCCGTGTCGCTGCCCGTCCCGTCCACTCACCTGTGTCGCTGCCCGTCCCGTCCGCTTACCTATGCAAAATGTATCACTGTTCAGTGTCAGAGTGTTCACTTACCTCCGTGTCGCTGCCCCAGTGCTCCAGCCCGTAGTTGGTGTATTCCTTGAGCAGATCTAACCGCTCCGAAGACCTGCAAACGGCGTCAATGTCAGACAACAAGCAACGCTAGCTAATAGAAAGTCATCACACGAGAAGTAACATGCATCCCAGGAACAGAAAAGATGTAAACAAACAGGCAAAAGCTGATAGGAGCAAACATAGACTACCTTATTACTGAAATAGAGTAGTCTATAGAGCAAATTAAAAATATCAGTGCACGTTCAAGTTTCCGCGTCTCAATACCCATTATTCATACCATTTTCCCTGGCTGTCATTCGCACTGCCCCCGCCAATGAAACTTCCCAAGACTGCCTACACTACGCGGCCTCCTATACGAACAATGTTCCAGCGCCCGGGCGGCGCGGCCCGCCACCTCACCTGATGTCCGAGACTTTCAACATTGCGCAGCCCGCCACCTCACCTGATGTCCCAGGTGCGCCGCTCCTTGATCTCGGTGAAGAGCCACGGCTTGATGAGCGCCCCACGAGCCACCATGATGCCAGCCACGCCCGAGGCGGCCTTCTTGGCCTCGTACTCCTCCCAGGAGAGGACGTCTCCGTTGCCGTACAGAGGGAGGGGGTGGGCGGCTCGCGAACACTCGGCTACGTACTGCCAGTCGGCCAGTTTCGTGTAGCGCTGCTCCCGAGACCGGCCGTGCAGCTGTGTGGTGGAGGGAGGGCAGAGTTACTGATACGTCAGGGACATAGCCGATATTCGATAGTTACGGAGCGAGGGCAGGGGCGACAAGCAGGTCAGGAACATAGGCGACAGTGTAACGGGGCAGGGGTGACAGGCACGTCAAAATTATCGGCGACAGAGGATTGCGCTCTGTGGAACTGTCGTGGAGCGCAAGTCAATTTTACGCATGGCACATGTCTCGAAATGCTGACAAAGGTAAAAAAGATTCAAAAATTTGATTCAATAAATCCCCACACTGCCATCATATCCAGCTTATGGTCTCCAAACATCTCCGAGAACGTCGAGATTTATCTAGAAGGATCACAGCAAAACACATTTTCACGTTCCAGGGTCAGTGTCACAAACATCAAATATCACCTCGCATCAATTTAGCATACGGGCGAGACATCACACCATATGCATCGCATCACATGAAACCCAACAAACAAATCACTACTGAGAAAGGCTGAGCTCGAGTCGGACGGTTCCCACCGACCACCGTCTCTGTCTCTGTCTGACTCTGTCTCCAACTCTGTCTCCGTCTCTGTCTCTGTCTGTCTCCAACTCCGTCTCCGACTCTGACGCCCACAGGCGGCTGCCAATGCTGCATATCCGGCGCCGCTCCGGCCAGATAGTTTGCATACAAAGTGTCCGGTAAGATGCCATACCGCATTCAAACAATTGCCACCGCTCCGTTTATGTAACGAGGATCGGCTCGCGCCGGCCAATGAGCGCCAAGGACTCTGCTCGCAGTGGCATGCTCTGCTCGCTCTAAGCACGGCCGACCTCCGTTTGACACACACGATCGACCATTAGACGCGTCTTGTTCAAGGGCGGCATACGGTGGCTGGTGGCTGGTGGAGAACAAATGATGCATTTTAAGAAGACAAGGCTCTTCTTGACCCTGCAACCGATCTGCAATGAACAGGCAATCTGCTCAAGTTGCGATGCGCGGAGGACAGTAGCAGTTCTGTGGTTCAATATTTAACTGGCCGGCTGCTCTGGCCGAGCCACTGCCACCGGGCCGGGCGGGCGGGCGTTCGGCCGCTGCCGTCTCAGCCAGTTCCCACTCGCTCAGATATATAGCCGACATCCATTCGAGCGTGACGTCACGGGCGCGTCTCTCGTTATCGAGCGGGACCAATCGTCGCCCGGTGGCGGCCACTCGCCACCGGCGGCACCACCGGACCGATATACATCACCGGAGAGCGGCCAGACAGTCGGCAGACACCGGCAGACGGGGCGGCGCTCTGCACTCCCGCGCCGCACCGATTGCCGCTGTCCGCCGCGATTTGTGGAATGCTGTTCGGTAATGAATGGGACAGCGGCGTATCGCCATGAGCGGCAGAGGCGGCGTGACGGCCCCAGTGACCCAGTTCGGGTCGCGAGAGGGAGGAGAACGTCTGACACACACACCACGCCAACAACTCCACACGCAACACTCGACTCTGCCCGGCGTCACTGCCTCTCGGCATTGAACCCATCCGCGTTCACCGGCCGCCCTGACCCCACTGAGTGCGATGCCCTGTGTCTAACCAGCGGGCTGTATCGACGGCACGTGCGGGCGGCCCGTTCATTGGCCTGTTGCAGCTCTCCCCGGCCCGGCCGGCCAGCCGGACGACCACGACAATCCGTCACCGTAACAGCTCCACTGCCGCTGGTAAACGGACCAAGACCGGCCGCGGCCACCTATTACGATAAATCTGGATCAGAAAGACATTCGGCGATCGACTGGTGAATAGCACGGCCAGTGGGAGTGGGATTCGGCCAATTCTCGGGAACAGGAGTAGAATGTGGGTGGAACGCCGGCGGAAACTCATCAAACGGCGGTGCGGCTGCGGTGAAATTAAAAAGGGTAGACTGTATAGAAGACAAATTACAGCATGCAGCAACATTTACCGAACATGAGTTACCGTCCCTTGAAAAAGAAAACCGATGTTAAAATCGACAACAAATGGCGTGGTGATAAAAAAAAATAAGAACAAGACTAGTTGAAAAAAGTAAAGCCTGGATAAGAGACTCAGCCTAATTAGACGAAGGCAAATTTAGGCAAGATATTGACGGTAGCAAATAGTTAACCGCAACGAAATAAAATGTAAAACTGTTTTCCGCGGAAGTTCTCTGACATTCTATGAACTGGTTGATTTGTTGGTTGTTTGTTGTCTGCTGGCTTTTAACGTAGTTTATAACCTTTTGCGTATGCATTAGATTCAGAGGAGACCATAAACTGGAAATATGAGCAAAATCAACAAAGGAAACAAACAACAGGCAAGGTAGTTTCAAAAAGCAAAAAAGAAATTCAGGGGACCTTGAGCACAGGATGTCCGCAACACCTAACACCATTACCGGGTGACCCGGGACGCCGGCATGAATAGACAGAAGTGTCCATCCATAATTTCGTGAGTCAATCCCAAATCCTTAACCTGCGCCCGGCTGGAGGTCCTGGATTTCCACGCCCTGCTGGGGGGGGGGGGGTGTTTGAACACCCCCCCCCCCCTTGTAACTCGGCTCCTGGGCCACGTAGCGATACGCGGAAGGCGGCGTTCGAAAGAGCGTCAAAAATAATGACGAAATCACTTCAGTCAATTTTTTGGTCAGGTCAAAGGTCAGGTCACCAGAGGTCATTGAAGGCAAAATTTCGCCGATTTCCAGGTCGAATGTCGAAAATTTCCAAGAAGCCAACGCATAACTCGGAAACCAATAGAGCTACAGCGCCTCGGAAAAGCGCATTCGATAGCCCTATTAACGCCCTTTCTGAGTAACTCTCTCAGATTTGACCTAACGTCAACGGTTTTGCCTGCAGGGGGCAAAAACTGCAAAAATAGCCGATTTTTTCGGAAACAGTTTTCTGCAATAACTTTCGACCCAAGCCTTGTACGAGCTTACTTTTACCGGCATCGTGTTCCTCTCGTCCAGACGCATCGAATGAACTATAACTTGACCTTGAAAGGTCAACTTGAAAATTTGACCTCAGGTCAAGGTCATGACCTGACCGGAAAGGGTCATGTTGCATATCAGTCGATCCGTATCGTCGAGCTGAACACATCTAAGGCGTTTTCATCGCTCTAGCATGCCTCTATCAAAAGTTACTTGCGAAAAACTGTTAGATACCATTCGTGACCTAATTTGACCTCAGGGCATAAACAAGGGTCACGGACACCATTTTCATGTTCAGTGTGTCTAAACCACTTGTAATTCGGTGTTTGGGAGTGTTTATAATGTCTTTCATCCAAAAGAGGCGCATTTCCATTTTCTCCCATTGACTTATAATGGGGAGGTCGCAAAATTGACCTGACCTTAGGTCATCGATATCAAAATTCTGAGATATACATTTTGTACATGCTATTGCTCTTAGCAATCGCTGAAAGTTTCAAAGCGATCGGTCACTCGGTGTAGCTATGACAGACATTGAAACTTTTTATGAGGTGAGGTCACTTCAAGTGACCTGGTGACCTGACCTTGAATGACCTTGGTCTGAAATTTTCACATGTGTAGAATTGATGTATGATAAGGTGTACCAAAAACCACAAGGGGGGTGTTCAAACACCCCCCCCCCCCAGCAGGGCGCGGGTTAACTGTGCAGTCGATCACATAGGTTAAATGACTGGGCAACGACAAATATTGCCTGGTCATAATAAGCGTTTCTGTTGTCTTAAAAGCTTATTAATGCTTTTAAGACAATCGATGACAGCTGTAAGTATCTGTATGACTTATGAGCACCAATTGTAAAAAGAGGCGTGCATTAACTTTTTGTGTCCATTTATCCAATAATACAATATTGGGTATATACTGGGCGATTCGCTAATGTCACGTAGCATGTGAGTTCAATAAATGAGTTAGCAATTCATCAAAAACGTCTCCCGCGTGTTCCTGACCCTGAACTGTGCTAGCAGAATCTCCCCTTTCCACCGCGCCAGACAGCCCGGAGACCACAAAAGCGTCCGAGCCGTTTTCTGGTCGGCCATCCGCCGTGGGCGTCGCTCGCGGCCTGGCGCTGAGGGCCACTGGCCAGTCTGCAGCCGCACTGATCGGCTGTCGGCCAGCGGCCACGTATGCCGGCAGCCAGCCTCCCCCGCCGGCGGCGACAATCGATCCGACCATCACGTCCAAGTGGCCCCGTCCCGGTCCGTTTTTGTGGTCCGGCCAGGCGTCGGCCGGGCCGCAGATGAAAACGGAGTGAGAAGCCGCCCCAGAAAAAAGCCCGGCTGCTGCGAGCGGACGTGGCCGGCCGCCCAACTCCGATGACAAGACGCTTTGTCGAGCAAAGTTGGCGTCTTGGGCGGCTAATCTGCCGGTGGACGGCCGAACAGCCGGGTCAGCCGCCATTTCATCTCAGTTCAGAGACGACGGAGGCAGAATGAAACCGAACGGGAGGGCGAGCGAGATGCCAGCACATCACTAAACGAAAGTAAAAAATGTAGACAAAAGTCAAGAGATTTATCAACGATGCGTGCTCAATGCTCACCATATGCAGAACACGCCGACTGTCTCTCTCGCACGAAAACACAGCCGGGACAGTGGGCGGCACCATTGCTGCTGGGCAGAATACCAGCAGCGGCGGCCTTGGCACAGTGCGGCCCCAATAAAGGCCGAGCTGTCTGGCAAACAGCACCCGACCGAGCCAAAAACGAACAAACAACTGCAAATGCTCGAGGTCAAGCCTATCAAAGTATTAGAGAGACAAAAAGGGTCGGTCGGCGACAGGCTTTAATCAGGTGGGCTGATGGCGACAGAGCTCGTCGCTCTATCTCCGAGATAATCGGATGAAATCGGAGACCGACCGACCGATTGGGAGGGTTGTTAACCGATCAGACACGGCGGCTGGTTTCGGCACCAAGAATGACCGATCACGGTTAGCCAGGCGGCAGGTCCAAACGTCTTCGTCCTCGGCAAGTCCATCGTATTCACTGAAAGACAGATCTAGCGGATTCAGGTGCTACTGAAAACCAAACCAACCCTCGCTTCAGAAGACCGTCGCTTCG